TTTCATGTTAGCACTCTAGAAAGTTATAGGTAGTATTCTTTATGTAGAGTAAACTTAGTTTCTAATTTAAATTGTAAGTTGTTTTTGAATTTGCAATACCATGTACATGTAGCACTAAAGTTTTGCGTGAGTTTATTTTTGCGAATTAGCGATTTTTTGGATTTTGTGGGAACTAATTTTTGCGATTGTATTTTAAGAGGCTTGTTTTTCTTGCTGGGTACTAATTTTTGTGATCTTCGCCCGGGAAGTCGAAATTACAACATTTATGCATTTTTTAATTTAACTAAGTGATATCTGAATACTTGTGGAGACTTCTCTAAAAGCATAGCTGTGCCATCATGATCATATTTATATTAATTACATTTTATTATTTACATAAACATTTTCCAACATTCTTAGAAAGTTTCAAGATTAATACACTCAAGATCGAGAGGTACAGAGCCAAGCCAGACATGATTTGATTATTGGTTTTTGCTCTAAGTTATAATTATAAAGTTATTATTTATTATTATTAGCAAGGCCACTGACCACTTGCTAAGAATGATAATATCGATGGAGAGCTAGTATTCCCAAATAAATGAAACATTGCACTTTCATAATTGCCTCACCTCAGAGTCCAGACTGCTCGAGGTAGTCTTTTTCTTGAGCATGCGGTACATTTTTACATATACAATTCCAGTAAAAATCAGCAGAAATATCAAGTAATTTCCAATGCTAGGAAATAATAAGCAAAAAGAGCAACATCTCAATTATTAGTCAAGCATGACTGAGGGTCTCACTGAATGAATATCAGGCCTAGATCGCAGTAGTACTAATTATCAAGGGGAGCAAGCTCTGTGCAAAATAATCAAGGAGTTTCGTGATGTTCTTCCAGTATGGTCTTGAGCTATTACACAACTTAGTTGATAAACTTGATGTGTAAAAAAGCACCTCCCCATAAGGTGGGCACCTCCTATAAGTAGGCAACATCCAAAGGTGTTGCTCCCTCTGCAAGTAGGCACCTCCCAAAGGTTTTGCTCCCCCCTACAAGTAGGCACCCCCCCCATAAGTTAGAAGCTCCCATAAAAGGGCACCTCCTAACAGTGAACAGCTCACAAAAGTGCGTACCTCCCAGAAGTACCAGGTAGCTCCAGTAAGTCGGCACCTCCCTTAAATGGACACCTCCCATACATACCCCCCCCCACCCCCAAAGGGCACACCTCTCATAAGTGGGCATGTCTAATACACAGTGGCCACATCCCATAGTAGACTGTGCCAATGACCAGGAACCTCAAGGCAAAATTTTGATTCAGTAACAACTTTTTAATCAAAGCATGACTGTCACAACTGCATGCTCTGGACCATACACTGTAGTTAATAGAAGGAAATGGTTATGAAACCTGACAAATGTATTTGTTAAAGTAGGTTTTTGTTTGCTTTTTTGGCCTTGTCCGTGCACAAAAACATAATAGTTGTTTACTCCATACTGAGGAACTAACCAATACAACGTTTAGGTTATGTAATTCATGCATAGTATATGAGCAAAAACAAAAGATTGTGCACTGTTGTGGACCTTCCAACAAAAATCTTGGCATCTTTGTTTGCCCCTTTGAAGTTTGCTGGGCTTCATAACCATTTCCCTCTAAAACCTATGTCTGGACCAAATGACACTTCACACTTTAGGCAGAACACTTCAGCCAATTTGACTGTGATTTACAATTTCAAGAGGAGACAGCTGTATTGGCTATTTAGGCAAATCAGCACAATGATATTAAAACAGGCCTGACCCAATGCAAAGGTTAAGGATATGATTATTTAAGCAGGCTACACATGGCATTCTTTGTTTCAAATCTCAACATACAGGAACCACTGGACTTGAGCATGTTTTGTTTTGTCAAGGATGTAGCCCCAACGTGACATCCACTTGAGATTTGGATCTCCTTGCTGAAAAAATAAATAAACTTTTATTCAGATATGCCAGTTCTTGATAAATGCATGATTTTCAGGGGAACAAGCATTCACAAGAAGTTCTAAAGATATAAAACAAAACACTCAAAAGTGGTAAAAGAAGTCCACAACATTCTTTAACAAGTTTATAGTACCAAGACAAATACTGGGCCCACATTAGTATATGTACAGGTACGTACATGTACATGTATAATTTATGTAATAATATAATTGTTACAGTCAAACCAAGTGAAGCGTACCCCTCAAGATTACATCAATGAAATTTCATTATTTGAATATTGAACCTACTAATCCTTTCAAAAATGCAATAATGAATTGATTATTTGAACATTGAACTCGCTAGTCATTTCAAAAATCAATATTAAATTGTTTTTTTTTTTTTTAACATTAAACTCATTAGGCGTATTCTTGGAACACTAGTGGGTTCAATTTTCAAATAATCAATTCATTATTGCATTCTTGAAACGACTAGAGGATTCAATATTCAAATAATCAATTCATTAAAGTAATCTTGAGGGGTATGCTTCACTTGGTTTGACTGTAATGGGCAACTAGCCATATAGTGAAAAAGCCAAACAAAAGAAAAATACTTCTCTATATCTTAATTTCATTTACTTGGCAAATGAGTGACTTACAACAAATTTGACAGAGTATGAGTAGATAATTTTGAGCTCATCATTGCCTTTGAGGTCTAATGGAATCCCCATAGCTGGTGAATCATAAGAACAATCTCCATCACTTCTGTGTTTCATGCTGTAACAGGAAAAAAAAAACTTACCCTGGGATTTCTCCGGACAAGCTGATGTAGATACATATATGTGGATAACCAAATAAAGCCAACAGTTCTTGAGAAAACCTTCTATCATTAATAACCTTAGGTGAAAATCAAATGAGGCACAAAAGCCTGAGCGGGCTCGTATGGGAAAAGGTTGGGGATACTCGTTGAAAAATTTGAATTAAACCCCTAAAGCCAAAAGGAGATCAATTTGGGATATAGGCTGAAGCCTTGAGAGCTAAAAAATAGTGGCATTTCATCTTGAACACTTTAAGTGAGACCCTTGATTTACACCCTTAAGCGAGACAACAAGCCTCTCCCACCTTTCCAATATAGGTAAGTCACCCCTCCCTCTGGGACAGAATATGCATAAGATGGATTAATTAAAGCCTACAGCTGGGAGGAAACCCTACCAAAATGCAGTAAAAAAATTGAGAGCGAGTAGTGTTCAGGCCATTACATTCCTGGTGGAACAAAGGGTGGTTACAATGCTGTGTCAGCAGACTGTTCGCAGGAGTAGAATGTATACAAACCAGGAGCACATCACTTAGAGTGTGCAACTACCCCATATTCCTGTCACAGCATTTTCACAGAGCGATCTATTTTTAGCTTGAATTTACTGCAAATTCAGACCCCTGCAGGAACCTTAGTGACCAATCACAAGCACAGACTTATTTTTTATAATTGACATCATTTCAGCAGAAGAAGTCATGGGCTCCTGATGTGAGGTAGGTCAAGGTAAGCCACTTTTTCCTTATGGATGCACGCTCATGTAGACCAGAACTGACCCATTTTGCAGGAAAAGAGGCCTAAAAATAGACTGGTCTGTAAAAATTTCGTGACCTAGGCTTAGTATGGGAGTTGCACAACCTAGTGATGGACTCCTGATTCAAACATATGATTAAGTATGTACTGCAAGGAAGTTACAAAGTGTAAGCTAAGCTTAGTCTACCTGATCATGAGCTGTGGTCCCCTCCAGTTGTATATGACGGACAAGCAGGCTGACCTTGAGCAGCCAGAAATAATAGGCCCTTTGCAGCTAAGCCATCATGTGACCTACATTTCATAAAATTATGGGCTGCAACTTTACGAATGCCAGAAATGGAAAAAGCATGTTAAAAATATTAAAATGGCCAAAATTGAGGGTCCTGGCATTAAAGAATGAGATTTTATGACGGTTCGAATTTTTAAAACACTAAAAGAAGATTTGCATGGAAAACATTTTTAGAGAGCAAGACCTTGCTCTACAACAACATTTTCCATAGATATCCTCTAAATTTTCCGAAAATTCAAACTGACGTACAAACTTACTCTTTAATGCCAGGGGTCTCAAACTTGGCCTTATTGGTATTTTCGCTAAGTTCTTTCAATCCATTTCTGGCATTCTTTAAGTTATAGCCCACAATAATATTTTTATTTAATATTTTTAGAAAAATTTTGGTCTCATGACCCCAGCTGCAAAGGGCCTATTAGGGTACATGCACTTATATAGCTTCTCATGTTTTGTTCACTGGTGCATGTGACTAAAATATTCAAAACAAGTTTGCCCTTTTTTATTTCATTCACTTGTATTGAACGTATGTAAATTTTACATCTAACAGTTAACTTAATTGGCTGCTCAGATGTGAAAATGTCCACTTGTGAGCCTTGGGCCTACAGATAACTAAAATCATGTCAGCAAAACAACAGCTAAAAGCTCCTATTACTGCAATTTGTACCTTCTTGGTGTAACTTTTGCAGATGTCAGACGAGATCCATCCCAGTCTTTGTCTGTCCTGGCATCACGGTACGTGATCTCAATGTCGATGTGGTTGAACACGTAGTGCATCCCATGTTCATTAAACAAGGTCTGCAGAAGAAATATCAACATTAACAATGCTCGAGTCGTAGCTATTTAAATGGGTGTTTTGAAGAACTATTAATTCATCCCAACATTTTTATACTAGCCATTGATAGTGCATCTGATTTCTCACAACACTGCAAGCTACAAAAAGTCAACCACACTGTGTCAAGCTGATCACAGCAAGACTCTTTCTCTAAAAAGGGAGCTTAAGCAACGATGGCGATGATGCCAAGGATGATGCCTAGTTAAAAATGAATTTAATTCATACTACATTCCACAGTATTTTGTCCCTGGATATCAGTTTTTAAAAGTCTTCAAATTAGCCTCAATTATGTTTTATAATGTAGTACAGAGTCTCAACGTTACTTTTCAACTGATGTTGCACATTGACAAGTCGGCATTACTGCATAAATTGCAATAAATTACGAATCTTCATGAAGCCTACAAATAAGGAGAGACTACAAATAAATTGTTTGTTTACAAAAAAAAGTAAAAGCTGAAACTTTTGACGAGACCACAAACAGCTGATTCAAACTGACCTCATCATTAAAACTATGCAATATTTCCTTTCCATTGGCAAAATGTAGTTCCTGCAACATTTTCAACCTTAAATTTTCTTTGTGAATGACCAGATGAAGCTTCCTTGATGCAAGTTTGATAAGTTCTTTTTTACCCTTGGGGGTTGATTGTACTGCAACAGTTTTCCCTGAATTTTCCTTTATAAGCTTATAAATATTTTGTTTTCTGTTGCAGTCAATTTCAGTCAGTGATAGGACTTGTGTAGCAAATTTCTAAAACTATTATTTTTCGTCATGAGAACAAGACATCTACTTAAGAATTGACAAATCCACTGTTTGGGGCCTCAACCTCTTTGCATTCTTTACCATTCCCTGCTCGGTTATACTTGGCCAACATTAAGGGAACTGGCACTAGGGAACTTCTGAGCTTCGAGAATTCAATAATTTAAGAAAATTTAGCTATTCTGGCAATTGAATATTGCTCATGACACTCCACTGTGTTGCTCAATTGCCAAAATTTGTCCTTTATTTACTTTTTGTAGCATTTTTATTCACAGTATCTTAATGTAGTCTCCGCAAAGTAGTCTCCGCAACATAGTCTCCGCAATGTAGTCTCCACAACATAGTCTCCGCAACAGCACCACCACTTAGGATTGTTAATTATGTAATGGAAACATACACAACATCAGTTAAATGGTTTGACAATTATATTAACTAGATAAAATGCCCTTACAAATAAAGCAGACAGACGTTTTTGACCTATCCAAGATTCAGAGAACTTCTCACTTAAGTATGCTGGAACAAAAATAATGGAATTTCTGTGTAGTCTCCGTAACAGCCACATAACTTACTGTACATGTTGTATCCCACTCATCCGATACTGAGTGAAGTACACTACTGTTGTGCATAGCTCTAATGGACATCTACCACACAAAGTCTACATTTTTAGATATAATCATCATAATGAAAGTCTCTCAATGAAGTCTCCGCAACGGCAGAATACGGTGGAATGACCATTCCAACAAAATTTGTGATTGTCTAGATTGTCTAGATCTGTTCAGTACACCAATGGCTCTAAAAGTGTACTCAGACTAAATATGCAATGAGAGCGAAAATATGAAAAATTAGCTGTCATTGTCCATGTTCAGTAGACGACGCAGAGCTTGGTCATTTCACATTCAACTTGTTATTTTGCAAAGGACAGCAAAGAAATGTACAAAGATTTATGACGCATGTGCACAGCTATTGTTTTGCTCATTAAACCTTTTGTTTGGTGAGGATTTTGTTGCCATCAACACTGTGGTTTGCTTAAACTCCCTAATGTCACTGCTTGTGTAAACAATAAAAAGTCAATTATAAAATACTCTGTATTGTTAACAATTGGACATCTGTACAGGAGCTGCAGAGTGACATAGAAATGGCTGAAATTTTCAGTACAAATGGGTGGGTAGGTGGGTCGTTAGGTGGGTGGGAAAGTCACACAGTAGCAAACAGTCACAAGAGCACTAGGCTGGGTCATTCAAAGCCAGATTAACTAATAAAGCTAATTCTGGATTAACGAGAATATAGTGACATCACTTTTGTATTTTTTCAGTGAGGTTCTCTGTACCTGTATGTATATGATTATTTTTCTTCTTCAGCTTTAAGCTTGAGTAATTTTAAACTACACAAAACACAAGAATTTAGTAAAAAACATTTTAACTTATACAAGAAAAATTCAAAATTTGATTAACTTTTAATCTCGGTTAGCATTAACCAGCTTTCAAACAACCCGGCCCTCAGATACCTAACTTTCAAGTCACATGACCTCCATCCCACACCCAGATCCCAGTGGTGTGTCGGGTGCACCTATTTTGCTCCACTTGGCTGGTTTAATTACACTATTTATCATTTCGTGATCAATTCCCACTCTGCAAGATACACAATAACCCAATAAGTTTGTCTCAACAGAGTGCGAAACCTTACACTTGTCATGCAGGCATCGTGAGCTTGTCCATCGTCAGACACAAGGCAACCAATAGGAAATCCAGTGGAGCAGTATTTGTGTAGTTCATCTGCGACATCATAACACCATGTCACAGGCATGTTGTCAATTATCCTGTGAAAAATAACAATGCAAGAATAAAACTCATACTGATTAAACTTGCTTTTCTGTACAGTCATGTACGTGGTTGTTTTCAGATCAGCTCCACATAAGAATGCCAAATGTTTAATATGTAACTTTTAGTGAAAATATACTTTCAATATATCTCTTATTTAATACACACAGACAGTGTATTCTCCTTGGTTTTGTTGCCAAACTGCTTCTTTATTCATCACCAAGTGTTCTTAACTTTTATAGCAAGTAAAAGTTTAAAACTTTCTTTTACTCTCAATTGTGTATTAAAGTGTGCGACGTACGATTTAAAAATGATTTCAAATTGACTCGTTTTTCTTTTGAGGTGCGTCAGAAAATTGAAGCTGTTTTGCATGAATAGAAATCGTTTCCCAACCTGTCAGGCACACAGTAGAGATAAAATAAATATCTTTAGTTTCTAACCTTGTCTTCTCAGTCCGTACTGTAAGTTATAGATCCTCGTTTTTTCCCCTTCGATTTAGTCCCATGCGCTTCGCGCTTGGGCCATAAATCGAAGGGGAAAAAACGAGGATCTATAACTTACACTACGGACTGAGAAGACAAGGTTAGTAAAAAGTATCTATTACATGTGGTATACAAGTATGCACAATCATGTATACTAAACTATATTTTTAAAAAATACTGTTAGTGAGTCATTTTACTCGCTGCCCTTTAGCTTACCAGTGGTTCTGATAATTAAGAGCAATTCCATTTTTCAAAAACTCCAGCCTTTTCATATCTTCTGGTGTACCAGGTTTGTAAGTTTTTGAGCAGAGAGTTTTGCAAAATTCATCTTTCTTGAAAGTTATCTGTTTGAGATAAACAAACAAACAAAAAATACGTCATTCAAATTTGAAGGAAAATCATTTTCCCCCTTATTCTTTTTCACTGGTTAATCTATAGTGCACTCAGTTTTTGACACGGGAAAAAAAAAAATTATTAAATTGTGCCAAAATCTTCATTTTTCCTAGAGCTGCTTTCCTCTCAATTCTTTTCTCCAAGCTGAAACAAAAGTCAAGACACCTTTTGTTTCTCTGACCAATAAAATCAGCCAGATTATTTACTCAAATTTACAATGTTTCTGGGTTAAAAGGAACCAGCTGAAGTCCGGGTCTGTGGGCAAGACACAAGAAATTGGTCTGCATTCGTAAAAAGTTTTGGATTCTTAAGGAAAAGGTCCCTTTTTCATCCCAAACATTGTTTAAATGCTACAAATTAATTTCAACACTTGACTTACATTATAGAGAGAGGGGGATATCCTGTCTCCTATGAGAACCTGAAAGCAATAGAAAATAGTTCAAAATCAACAGAAAATCTCTGTCAGTGTTTATAGTGTTCTTGAGAAAGACAATTCACTAGACCACGGATAACACTGACTCTGTGCTGCACTGATCTCTGTGCCACTCTGTGCTGCAACAGCAAGGAAAAAAATGGGCAACAGCAAAATGTCAGGATTTCAAACATTATGATTCTTGTGGTCAACAAACCAGCATACCACCCAGGAGAAAATTTACAATAAATTAGAAATTTCATTTTTATTGTTAATTTTTTCATAGTCCTGTTATTGTATCTAAAATATTGTAGAAATCAGGAATCGAGTCCTAGATGTTGCCATGTCCCACTTTCGCCCTTCATGCAGACTTAATGAGCATCAATCAGTCAAGTAGATTGCGAGCAGTCTCTCTTTTCCTCAAAAATCTGTGGAGAACAACACAAAACAAGTAAGCGTGTGAGCGTGACCTCCGAGCAGTGATGCCGCGAGCTGTTAATAGTGCTGGCATCGGCTCTTTTTGCTCGTCTTCTGACGCCCAAGTTACTAGTTGTTCGCAGCATTGACGCTTGTCGCTCGCACGTCATGTTCACAGTCATGCTCACATGCTTACTTGTTTTGCGTTTACGACTTCCCCACAGATTTTTGAGGAAAAGAGAGACTGCTTGCAGTCTATCAGTCGAGTAGATTAATAGTTATTTATTAACAAAACGTTTATGCTTACTTGGCCTAGATTTTCTCTGGGAGACTCTGAACCATTGACAGGAGTACAGAAATCGAACCTATAAAAGAGAAAATAATACATTCTAATTACTATCTGGCCTGAGCTTCTCAACTAAACATAATCACCGATAGTTACATCTTAACCAGAGCCCTTTTACATGTTGTAATGATTGAAAAAACTTTTTATTTACTCTCACAAACTCAGAACCGTATTTGGAGAAATGTCGATAAATATCCCAGTATAGCCTTCACTCTTGGTGGTAATGCTCTCACTAATAACTGTTCAATCGAATAAAGATGAAAGGATGAGATTTGTATGAAGGTACTTAAGGTGACTTGATAAATTTTCATGAACAGTTTTATAGTCTGGTAAAACAAACCTTGAGTAGCTATATGGCATTAACGACTTCACAGAATCCAGTCGGTTGGTAAAGAGGTCAATTTTTGACTATAATAAAGAAAAAAGAAATTATTATAAATAACTTTCCTGACTGCTAATGGTTAAGTCTGCATAGGAGTCAAGTGGCCCATCAGGCCGGATCTTATCCTGGTTTCCGTAGCATGCAGCGACTAGGAGTATTTCTTCTCCCTCCTGGATGGGATGCTAGTCCATTGCAGGGTTACCCCCAGCAACAGACATTTCAACTCCAGTTTATTCTTAGTTAGAATGTAGCTAGAGTACAGCTAGGTAAAACCCAAGTGACAAAAATTGCAAAATGTATTTTGTTCATTAAGTTCCCTGGTACCAATTTAATACACCTAATACCCAATTCAAAACAGAGTGAAAAAACCATACCGTATTTATGGCCAAAATTGATACCCTATTAATGACCAAAACGGCTAAAGAATCGTACCCTTTGGGGCTGCAAATACGCATATAGCCCATATAAGGGGATAACCCCCACTCCCTGGGGGTGACACTTTTTCCAAGGCTGAAACCCTTGAAACAACTGCAGAACTTTCAAAAGTACCATTAATTGAAAGTAGAAAAGTTACACTACTTTTCAGAGCTATCTGTTTTACTAGCATTGCAAAATGTTTCAATATTAGCAAGTAGAATTTGGCCAATTTTCATATTAGTTTATGCGTAATTCATGAGGCAAAATTTGTCTTCTCTACTTTCATTTTCTAAATTTCTCAAAAACAATAAATGTTTAGAAAGGGACAAATTGATATATATGTTTTTAAAGATAGTTTCCTTAAATTTTTTTCGGGCAAAGTATCAATATTTTTCAATTTTTCAAGGCTAGCAATTCTTGATATATTTCCCAGTAATTCAGTCTCTTATTGATACGTATTAGCCAAGGGCTGTTAATTAAATAGTCAATTTTTCAAGTGTGTTATTGATTAAACAGTTTAAAATCACATAATGTTTCACATGCAATTTGAAATAAACAAGCTCCACGGAATCCCGCCATTTTGCTAGCAGTGGAAACAATTTACCCGTGCAACCGCACTCAAAATCATGTGATTGTCAGTTAGCAGTGCCAAGAGTTAACGCGCCCACTCCCTCCGTAACCCGTAATTCATGCTCTAATTTAAGCTTATTGTGGTAACGCGAAAATCCTCTCGGTAGTTGATCCTTTTCCCTTAACTCTACTTACTGACGTACGAAAAACTAACTAAACCATTAGCAAGTAAAACTAAACTCACTCTACAAGTAGGATTGGATTCTTTTCCGGGTTCGCAGAAGGCAGCGCGAGTATAAAAGGAGAAGTAATATGCAATACAACTGGGAATCCAAGCGCTCAAACCAAAGAAAACGAAGCAATACAGCTTGAAACAACTCATCTGCTTCATGCTTCTGCTCAGTGTGTAGCTAAATCCTCGGCAGCTAGATGGAAAAGGCAACCAACCTTCTCAACATTGCACTAGTACGCGCCTGGATATTTGCCCTCGTTTCGTTCGTCACTAGTCTCCTACTCGTAGCGGCTCAATAGCCGGCGAGGACCATGGGGCGGGCATCCCAGGGGGGGATAGCCGTTATAGGGTGCTTTCCATTATGCCAGAGAGACCGGTCAGAGATCGGTGGGAGTACCCTCGGAAAATGGAACGACATTTTCCGATCAAACCGGCCAACTGGAGAGGAATGGCTCTTACTATGTTTTATTCGTTTTCCGAATTCCCTACATAAGTGAAGAGATGTAGGGCAGTGAACGGTGTCTGACATTTGCAGACTGCAGACTACAGATTACAGACTGCGTACAGTAGACCTCAGACCGTAGATTACAAGACGTTGCCTTAGGAACGCTGACCGCAGAGCTTAATCCAACACAAATCCTTGCTGTATTGAAATTATGACTCTTGGGTATGTGTTCATAGACAAATGTAACTCTCAAGTTTACTCGAACGTGACCAAGGAAGATATACTGAGGTATGATGACGAGCCGTTTAGCTTACAGTAGCATCTTTTTCACAAGACAAAAAAGGAGATGAACATAATAATGGAAGACGCGCGTTCACTTCGATAAAGATGCCTGGTACATTATTACTGTCTGTGGTGTATCAGCATTCACCATGGATAGTAATCTTGAGAGTTACAATATCAACACATACCCATATCGTCTAATACGTGGCCAAGGAGTCATAATTTCAATACGACAAGGATTTGTGTCGGATGAAGCTCTGTTGTCTTCAAGATTTGCGGCCAACGGTCCTCAGTCAACGTTTTGTAATCTACGGTCTGAGGTCCACTCTGTAATTTGTAGTCTGCAGTCTGCGGTGTGCAGTCTGCAGTCTGCAGTCTCCGGGCTGCAGTCTGCGGTCTGCAGTCTGCGGTATGCAGTCTGCGGTATGCAGTCTGCAAATGTCAGAAACGGGCAGTGAACCGGTTTGTCAAAAATGGAACTGCGAATTTCGGTCGGAAAATACGTGGAGCACCTCCAGAGGTGATCCCAAATATTCTGGTCAGAAAAAGCCGAAACGGACCTTTCCATTTGACTTCCGACCTAAATTTTCGGAATCTTTGGGTGCTTTCCATTATGCCAGACCGACCGGTCAGAGATCAATGTGAATACCCGAGAAAAATAGAACGACATTTTCCTATAAAACCGGGCCAACCAATAGGAATGGCTCTTATCATTTTTTAAATTTCTTTTCCGAATTCCTTATTACGGGCAAAGAACCGGTTTGTCAAAAATGGAACGGCGAATTTCGGTCGGAATATTCCACCTCCAGTGGTGATCCCGAATATTCCGGTCGGAAGGAACCGAAACGGACCTTTCCATTTGAATTCCGACCGAAATTTCCGGAATCTTTAGCATAATGGAAAACACCCTTTCGCATAATGGAAAGGGCCCCTTTTCCAAAAACCAAACCAAACGAGACGACTCTTTCCATTTACGATTCCCCGTAGTTGTTTTCGGTTGATGAGAGACTGGAAATTGAAAATCTAGCAAATGGTAAGAAAATTTCGACCGTTCCGAACGGAAAAAAGACCTCTGGAAAATGAAAATTATAATTTCTAACGATATACATGAAAAAATTACTCGATTCTGATTGGTTGAGAGCGGTGCAGTTCAAGTGTAATACCAGTGCAAGAAGTGCAACACCAATGCAAATGAGGCCCGGTTCATACGTCGCATTTCTGCCGTGTCGAATTCAATGCAATTAAGTGCGGCAGAAATGCGACTGTCGATTCATACGTCGCACTTGTGTCGAATTTAATTCAGAATTAATACTGTCGGGTATGTCGGTCTGCGGAAAATGTTTTGAACGTAGAGTACTCAATATGGGGGACGGAGAGACTGAGGGACGAAGGACTTAAATTTTGCGAAAAATTGTCCGCCAATGGAAAGAGAAGGAGAAGGCTTACAATGCAGCAGTTCGTTTTGCAATATTTTCAGGTTGCATTGGGACGAGAATGGCCAAGTTTCTTCTTTCTCTTTGGCGGGACCAAATTTACGCATGCTCAATACATTAACATAATGTATGAATTAGATTCGACACGGCAGAAGTTCGACGTTTGAATCGGTGTCGCATCTCTGCCGGATAATGCGACAAGCCCAGTCGAACGTGCGGCAGAAATGCGGCAGCCGATTCAGACGTCGAATTTCTGTCGAATTTAATTCGTTGACACGGCAGAAATGCGATTTATGAACCGGGCCTGAAATATCATAAACGCTTTGTCGACCGAGATACAGCAGGGTCTGGGTACCAAGCCATGGCATCATGTAAGATGTATGCATAGAGAATACTAAGGATTCTCTCCGTTTGCCCTACTGAAAGACAAATGTAAAGACATCGCTGCTTTTTTAAGGCTCCAAATTATTTAACTCTCTCATCACTGAAATTCATGATCAAAATGCCTCTAGTATTGCCGTGTTAACCTGTAAACTTAAGTCATCCTTCTTGGTATTAGTATATTTTACTTCTCTTAGTGTGCTTGTGTGTTTTTTCGCTTTTTCCCTTTCCTTTGCTGTTGCGCGTTTGCGCGTTTAGTTTTGCTAAACTACTTTATCCTAAATTATGATCATTTTATGTGCCGATGACAGCTTTTTTTATTCTTTTTTAAGACTTAGGCATCCTTAAGGTAGTCCTTTACATAGGCCTTATTGGCTTCCCCGGGATTCCTTACCTTATGCGCTGATATTTGTTGTAAATATATATATATATGTATGTATGTATGTATGTATGTATGTATGTATGTATGTATGTATGTATGTATGTAT